GGGTGCGGGGGGTGCCGCACCCCCAATGCCGTGTCCGTCGGCACAATAAATCAGTTATCGGCAAAATAAATTGGATCAAGCCAATAGGCAATACCTGATTGGAGAGAGATTGTAGAAAATTTGTAGAAAATGCGAGATCGAAAAGATGGATATGTCGACTGAAAGCTCGGCCTTTTTCCGAACATTCAGTTAAATTGGCCAAGATCTTATTACGCTAATACGCTATTTAATAGTATTATATTTTCTTGCAATTCTGTGAAGTATACCATATAGCTAGGAAATTCGAAGCACATGTATGTGTTGACTGTTGATGCGTCTGCGCTTCATTTCATAATCTTGTAAAGCCAGTAAAAGTCTTATAAATTATGCATGAGTCAATATTAACCCCCCCCCCCACCCCGGGGAAAGGTGGGGATTTGTTTTGGCCAACTTCCTAAAATAGGCAAAAGCCCCCATACCAGGGAACCAATTTCTCATCAAAACTCAACTAATAGCCCCATACCTGGGGCTGTTCATTTTCAATTTTAATAGCAGTAATACAAACAGATAGTGAAAAATTATAGAAACAGTTTTATGGACTCTTCATACAAAAACTACAATTTGCAGCAAGACTGCGTCAGTGCATGGTAGCTTATTTAAAGTGTCATCAGTATGTAAAACTGTTCGTTTTATGCATGTTCACACCTAAATTTACAAAATGATAAAGAAGTCATTAAAGGCTACACTTGTTCAAGTTTGTCCTAAATGAATCAAAATGTAACATTTGGAGCATAAAAACTAAAATGATTTAATATTTAAAGGTTAAAATTTCAATGCGCGGGGGGGGGGGGGTTAATGCTAATTTATACAGGAAATAGAGAGTAAAATATAGTGTTTCTGTACCTTAACTTGATAAATATACGCCATAATTATTGTACTCATTGAACAGAACGCCAATTTGAATAATCAAATTTTATTTATATTAGTATAGTATAGTTCTAGTATATTAGTTCTAAAACGTAACGTTAACAGAAGCGGTGAATAAATATATTTCAGTAATTTGCAAGCCCCAGGCTCAGAATAACCGTTTCGTCTTTTCCATGTGTTGCCAGGTGTTGCCTCGATTTGGTTTTGTTGTGTATAACCGCTGACCATATGCATTGCAGACAAAAAAAATCCGTTCAAATTCCCCTACCCCCGGGGGCAAATGACATGCAAAACGCTTCAAATGCCCCAGGGTCATGGGCCAAAAATTAATATAATCCCCTGCTAATCCCCATGGTAACCCCACCTTTCCCCGGGGGGGGGGGGGTTAATATTGACTCATGCATTAGTTGTTGAATTCGCAACGAAAAATACAGATTTACTCACACATACAGTGGGAAAATGCAGGAGACAGATCGATTAGATGAAGGAAATCAGGTTTACATGAAATAAATAAGTTTATTTCCTTTTTTGCTCTTTTAAAATGACGAAAAATACAACCCGAGAGTCGCGGACCCATCACTTCCCGCCATGAAAATACAAAAAATGTTTGGCCGCGCACCTAAGGAGACTGAGAATGACGCGCAAGAATGGCTTCAAAATCCGCCATCTTTGGCTTCACTTTTTGATTACGTCAATAACTGAAGTCAGCCTTCCATGTATATAGTTCACTGATTGTGTGCGAAAACAAGAGGATATAACCGATATTTAACACACATTTTCAGCGGTTAACTCCATGCCGCAGTACGTTCTAGCGCAATGAAGCATATTTACTGATATCTCACATTTTGGCTCTGCGGAGGAGACCTTTTTCAATTGCACTCCGATATGGTTGGAAAACTGCGTTAAATTAAAAAGCACACACAAACACGCATTTTCTTCACTTTTAATATATAAACTTTCACGCAAAATTAATCTTTTATAAATATAAATACATGCAAATTCGTGAACTGTCTATACACAAATATTTATGAAATTTGTACAATATTAGGTATAACATGATTATTTACAAATTATTATGATGTAGTACCCATGTTTTACAAATACTATCAAAATTATGAGAAATCCATTGCTCTTGAAGTTTCTTATAGCGATCTTGACACAGAAACAAAGGCTTCCCTCGCCTGAAGAAAAAAAAACATGTACATCGACTTAACAAGAAATCAGCAGATTTTGCTCCGGTACAGTACACGTGGTACAAGATTAGAAATGCTTAATCTATTATGAAATTCATCTCTTGGACTGGAGACTTACGAACGCAATGATTACTAAATCCACCACAGTTCGGTAAAAACATCGCCATATCGGCAGGTCCATTCAACCAGCCATATATTTGGACAAATTCGATAACCCTTGTTATTATATATTCAAAGTCTATTCTCGTTCGTGATTGGTCAAAACGCGAACGCGAGGCTCTGGGTAGCCAACTGAGGAAACGCCTGCCCAAATGGCTATGACAAATTTGTTTTCGCCCATTAAGGATGATTGACGTTTTGTAATTAGCACCTTCATCCATTATCCAATCATAGTCGAGATTTATATTTAGCATCATGCATGCTTTTTGCTCGGCAACTACGGAGATTTGCAGAGATTTTATGCACTATTTAAAACATGAGCAGCAGTGTTTTACCAGATATATAAAGATGGTCTGATAAAACACGCACTGCGAATGTTTTAAATTGCTTCAAAAACGATCGATCGAGTATAAGTTCATTGGCGAAATAGCTTTCAAAACATTCGTTGTGTATGTAAAGAAAATCAAACTTAAAGTTTATGTAAATCAAGGGAAATCTCTATCACATATAAAGATACACGTTTACGATTTTTCTTTGTGTTTCTTCCTCATGAATTATTAATGAGTTTTTGAAGCTATTTTAGACAACAGTCACAACACAGTCACAGAGCTTTTATCTTTTAAAAGGCTCCTGAACCACGGTTGTTTAACGTATTCTGCCGTATAGCAAATTAACTGCAAAATTATAACAGTTGAGCATGTTTTGAAATGTTATTCTTAAAATCATCATCCAACCTCATAGCTGCACTGCCAAGTGATGTAGCCTCAACTATCTGATCTTGAATTATACTTTAAAGTGAACAAATAACAAGACAACTATAAGGAAATTTACTTCGATCCCCGCCGCTCGGGCAAGCTTTGATTTGCAGATTTTCCGTATTCCGTAGGAAGAATCGCGATAACCGGCGTCTTCACCACGTAGCAAATTAATAATAGACTTTCTCTATTCTGGTTTCAACTGAATTTCGAAG